ACTCTGCATCCAGCAGCACCCTTAGAGTTAGGGGTCTGTCAGCGTTTTCACCATGAAGCCTGGTGCTCAGGGTTCATAACTCAGTTGCTTTAAATAGCTTCAAGCTGAAACACTATGTAGACATTTTAAGTCCAGATGTATATTTTAAAACTAAAAGTAGTGCAAACCTAATGCACTGTTTTAGTTAGAGAACACTGGCCCATATATTTACCAGTATCATATGTTTTTCTGGCAATGCTAAAGAAAGAAAACACACTTTTAGATATGTTATCTATTACTCATAGTTGATTCTGCATATATAATGATACCTTTCAGTATTTGTCATAAGTAGGGTTTCACAATGAAGAAGTAATTTCTATTTGAAAATAATTTTTTTCAACATCACTGGCCCTTTTTGTCTTCAAAAACAAGTATGCAGCTAATAAACATTTGACACTAGGAAATTGCGTTCTCCTTACATATTTAATGATCAGAGTTTATGTTTGTATCTTTTCAAATTTCATTTTACTTGTCAGGCAAAATGAGGTTACTCACAATAGGGTCCAAATAATAAAAATATAATTTTTTGCATTATGCCACTGAATGCAATAAAAATGTTAGGATTTATTAGATAAAACTTATGTAAAATAATGGAAATCAATAATTTAGATGGAAAATAAATCCTGAAAGTTTCTTAGGACACATTTGAAAAAGGCATGCTATGATATCTTTCATTATTTTTTCCTCTTTGACATTGCTGTGTGTATGGCTTCAAAATTCCAGATGTTAGAGGATCTAACCATTGTTAGTTGATCTAAACCAGCTTGATACATGGCACATTCCTCAGTTAAACTGAACTAATTACCATCAAATTTCTCTTTGGTATATACTTTAAAAATTATGAAATGATGGTTTATATTGTATTTCTTCTTCTTTTTTTGTAGTTCTACAATTCAAGGGGGTTTCCTTAAATCTGGGTTAAATTCTAAAAATTAACTGTACTATTTGTGGAACTTTTAGATAATTCCCTTAAAGTTATTTTAAAATAATTTTCATAGGAATAAGTTTTTTTTTCTTTTTTGCAGTTACTCCTTTATCTTTCTTTTTACTGAAAAGATTTGATCAGATTCTATCTGGAAAAATAAAATTTAAATTTTGCTGCAAGTACAATGTGCCAAATAACATTGGTCTGTAAGAGTAATAGATCAGACAAGACTAGAGTCTGTCGATGGAGATGTCATGGGAATTTTAATTTTCTCACAGTAAGACCACGAAAAACAATTTTTAAGGTCTGAGTTAATTCTCCTCTCTTAGAGTACGGATTTAGTTATATGGAAGCGCATACAGAATTTCAGTAGCATTTCTAAAATTCAGTATTCTTTTACTTTATTTGTACAAGCTCTGTATCATGAAATTTAAATGCAAGTTGTAGTGAGGTGAGCTGAATAAAAGTACTTCTTTCTGTCTTCTAAAATGTTAGGACACACATTTATTTCTCTCTTTTCCATGAAGTGTCTTGAATTTGTAGATTTACTATTTTAAAACTCGTAGAAATTTTAAGCACCTATAAATGTTATAATTTCATGACACATTTTTTTTTTTTTTTGGTAGAACAGAACATTTGAGTTGGAATTGTATGGAAACAAATTTTAACGAGTGTTTATTCCTAACTAGTAAAAGCAATTTTTGATTGTTCTCGGCTTCTTCAAATATTTTCCATTGCTTGAGTTTGGTACAGATGAAATGTGTAAAAATTTCTTGATTCTTTGGTTTTCTTTTAGATAAACACTGTTGAGAATTTCCAAGGGAATCTTTTTTTAGTTCAGAGATCTACTTTTCTTTTTTTTTTTTTTAACTTCAAACATATAATTACTCTTCTGATTGATATGTAGTCAAATACAATACTATCCCTGCTTTTTTTCCCCTCCCTCAGAAAAACATTAAATAATCTGATTTGGTAGAGTGAATAGCAGAAAAAAAAATTTTCCCATTGAAATATAGCTCAGCTATAACAGGAAAAATTGTCATTACACCGTGTGAGTTAGCATTTTCTTTTCAGGTCAGGTTTTAAGCCTCATAAAAGACCTACACAATTTGTGATTATCTACTTGTTTTGTTATTAAATATAATACGTAAAACATGTTGATATTTAATATAGCCATTATTATGCTGCTTAAGAAAAGTAAAATGGATTTATGTATTTCACTCTTAGGGATCTTTTCTTTCATATTTTCCCATATTGAATCAATTTTCCTTTTCTTCTAACTAAAAAGAAATCCATTATGTTAAAAATATTCAGTAAAATAATAATGTCCCAGAACTCTTGAAATTTTTATAATGGGACAGCTTTCTTTACTTTTTTCTGAAATTTAGTCAGACTGGAATGAACCCATCGGCAGCCATCCGTTACCCTTCAGTAACACTGAAAACCATCTCAAAACATGAAGTGAAGAATTACATATTCAGTCGAACCTTTTAAGGGTGTTTATAAGGCACAGTCTATGTTTAGCACCCAGAAGACAAGAAACAGAAGTTAACCCCCTCGTTTTCCAAAAAGTACATCACTGCAATCACACTTTACAGTTATATAATATCTTCTACATTTTATAGCCTTGAAACATTATTTCTACTTTATATTGAAAAATTATGGTTTTGGAGCTACAGCTGCTGCATTGGTGGGGGGGGGGGCACGGCCGATGTAGCAGTGTTGGGGAAAAAAGTGAAGGGGGCCCTTACATTTTTGTGCATTCATTCTTTTCTAAATAGTTTAATTTTTCTTGCCTTAATCAATATCTTTACTATAAATTCCAGATTTACTTTGACATAGAAAGCCACTCAGCAGGTGTTGAAATGCAATCTGCTGAGTAAAAAAGGTCAAATATTCAGATCAATATTGGCAAACATAGTTTATTTCAGTATTTTGAAATGTTCATGTTCAAGGTATGGTGACTTTGAAAGCACGTTGTCTCCTAAATCTAGCATTACCTAGATTTAGTTGCCACTTGAGGCCCTAGCTTAAGTGTGGAGGAGGAAATTATGTTCTCAAGGGATTCATCCTTGACCTAGGAGACTTCTCCTATTGAATGAAATAACCATATAATTTGGTGGGGGATATTAGGCTGGATTTTCTCTCACCAGGGTCAGAAAAAGTTGGCAGAAGATTAGTTTGGAGCTGGGCACCATGCTGACTGCTTGTTCTCTTTCAGGGTTTTCGGTAGTAGCCTGTGGGTAGCTGTGGGAAGTGGTGCTTATTTATTGATTGACTACAAGCATACTTGTCAAGCACTTATTATGTGCTGGACACTGTTTTGGGTACTGGACAACTAAAGTGAGAGAGATGATAGCCCCTTGCCTTATGTAGTCTCCAGGGCCCTGGCCACACGTTTGCGCTGGCATATCCAACAGGACAGGCAGAGCATTGTTACATGTCTACTGATTATGGAGTGAGTGGATTCTGTGGAAATGGTTTCTATCATTTCAGAAAAAGTTTGTGATTTTAATCTGAGCAAAAAAAGGGCTAAAGAAAGGAATTGAGGTAAGAAACAGCTTAAGAGAAAACAATATAAAACTGGGGAAAAAAGCTTTTTTTGTTTGGTTGTTTTTCTACTGGAGCAGAGGTTGTACTGGTGAGCGTTGGGATAGGGCTCATGGGTGGGGGCATTTCAGCCCCAAATTATAGTGATGGTGTCTGTTTCATCACAGTCTAGGAAATCTGTTTTAATGACAGCATGTACAAACTCTAATGGGAACACGAAATTAAATGTTTAGGTTTGCTTATGGAAATCTTGATAGAGGCAGGAGTAGCATGAGACATGGAAGGATGAGTGGGGTATTTGCCAGACCTGCAAGCACACATGGACGTTATATGTCAGGGAGGAGTGGACTGCTCAGCAGGAGACTCTGCTCAGTTATCACATGGGCATTGGGACTGGAGGAAGAAGAGATACTAATACTCTGAGTATAGAATTGTGCAAATTAGTGGAGAGAAAGGAATGTTATTGGAGGGCAGGAATGTTATTGGAGGGCAGGGTTTTGGTAATGGATTAAGAATAGTATTTTATATATGACAGTGAAGCCCCCGTATTGACTTTGCTTTACCAGGCTGTATGCTAATCAGACACCCGTTTGCAAGTTAACGAACCCTGGTTAAAAGTGTAATCCTTATCCTTGGAGCAGCGAAAATGTTTATTACCCTCAGAGGCTAATTATCCTGGGCCCTTACTTGACTGAGTCAGTCATCCTCAAGTTAATTGCTGAAGATTAAATCAGAGGCAAATTCTCCATTCCAAGACAGAATAGTAGTTTGGCTAAGGCTGTATTTGCTGTCTGTACCACTTGTCAGTATATTGACATATTGGTCATTGATCATTTTCAGTCCCTATCTTACCTAGACTGTAAGCTTTTGATGGATTTGTATATCCCCTGGATTCCACTGCAGACTGGGTATTCAGTAAATGTTCTTAGTGCGAAGAAAAGCAGAATATCCAATCCTAAGTCAGGAGATGAAATGTAGTCTTGGGTATCCTACCCTAGTTGGGCTTCCATTTACTCAGCCAAGTTTCACCTGACCGTCTTCTCCCACGGGGCTTGACCAGACTTTCTCTTTTTTAGTCTGTGATCCTGATGAGACCACACCTCAGGGTGCCTGGGCTGTAGACAGGCGGTGCCTTAATGTGTACAATGCAATCTGCAGATGGGACATCAGCCTTCTTTCTGTGGCATAATTCCTATGGACAGCCTAACATGGGGATTCAATAAAAATGTACATGTACTCTGTGAAGAATCCAACAACAAATGAAGGAAACTTTTGCCTGCCTTTGAAAATGGGTGGACCCTGAAACATTGGTTTGTTTAAAGTGGCATCTCAATCCATATGCAGATGCCTCATTCCTGTCAGCCATTATTGGACTAGAGCACCAAGACTGATAAGACCCATCATTCACAATGAGACTGTATTCTCAGTTTTTAAGCATTTCTAAAGTGCCATTATTGCTGCTGTGTTTCCTGTTTTATGTAGGTGGTAGCCCTCGGAGAGGTACCAGATGGGACTGTGGTTACTGTCATGGCGGGTAACGATGAAAATTATTCTGCTGAGCTCCGAAATGCCTCTGCTGTTATGAAAAACCAAGTAGCAAGGTTCAACGATCTGAGATTTGTGGGCCGGAGTGGACGAGGTAGGTCTCTGACTTTTAATAATGATAATGGAATAAACATGTTAGGATCCTCTGATGGACAAGTAGGCTAGTCTTTATACAGACCAACACCTTTTACTGCATAGAATTACTGAAAATTTTATCTAAAGGCATCCAGATGAAGCTGAGTGTTTTTCTCAGTACTCAGTCCTCTTTCATTTTTTCAAAGTGATAATGAACATTCAGTGCTTTCAGAAGAACTGACTTCTGATTTTGCTGGTTGTGAGTATATAAGGTAGAGGGGGAAATTGAAATCTCAAAACTCAATTATAAGGAGTCAAAAAACTGAGTAAACTGAGTGGCAAAAGGGGAAAGATAACAATGCATTGGCTCATTTTCCTGATAACAACTTTACTCAGCTCAGTTGTTAACAAGGACAGCTAGAACAATGCTTGTCATTGATTACACATTACCCCTGTGTAAATCTGATTTATTTACTCATAATTAGAATCTATTTTAAAGTCAGTCTTTTACAAACAACTCTTCATTTGACTAAGTGAATAATGTATTACTTATGTTAGAATCACTATAGAGAACTGGCTACACAGATGAATGATTGGGACTCTTCATTTCCACAGTACTTAAGGGGTTCTACCATCTGGATCCATAAACAAATATTAGGATTCTTTCAAAGATCACAAAATAGAAAATATTTCCTTTCAGAGTGTCACAGCTGTTTTATAAAGGGGGTTAGTGTTTTAAAAAGCAGCCTCTAAGGATACTAATATTTTGGCTGTTGTTTACTGTTAATAGTCATTCATTATAAGTGTAATGCTCATTTATTTATTTGTTGACCCTGATATTTTAAGTACTCTATGACAAGAAAGAAAATAGACCATTAGGACCAAGGTGAAATAAATTATAGGACCCACAGAATTACTTCAACCCAGGTTTGAATTAGGAAATGAGAAGTATCAATTTTTAAGCCATGTCTAATAATTGCTCTTTAGTTTGGATCAGATGTCAAATTATTGCCATTGTAAAAACTTGATAAGGGAAATTCAAGCAAGGCTGTTTCCGACGAGTAGTTTTAGTTTACTTTCTAGGAACAGGGCCAAGAAGTTGTACTTTTTTACTTAAAAAAAATGATGCATGCTAATGAGATACTGTCACTGAAGGGTTGTTTGAAATAAAGTGAGGCTCAGAACCTCTGGTGGAATCAAAACTAAAGGGGTTATCTCTGCATCAGGTTTTAGTTTACTTTCATTAAAAGAAAAAAAAGACATATCCTAATCTCACTATTGACTGATTAGGTGTGAAGTGTGTATGTTTATATATTCATTCTTTCCCTCTCCTCCTTTCTCCCTCAGTTGCTGGTGCAGGTCCATTGTATAATTAAAGCTTCTCTTTTTTTCTGGTAAGAAGAAATAATCTGAACATGAAGATTTACCTGTATGCTTTGAATGGACTCTGCTTATGTACTATTACTTTGTTTTTAACTGGAGTCATGAATTTCATTTTTAAAGGATTGCAGCTATACTTTCTTTTACCTTACAGGTTCAAGCTAGTGTTTTCATTTATCTTGCATGTGTATTATAGAGATGCTGCATAACTTTTCTCTGATCAATTTGAGTAGAAACTATGGCAAAGTGATAGTGTACTTTGTAAACCCTCAAAATATTTATTTAAGAAACTTCAAAGAGAAACAAAGGGTGTGCACTGTTTTACTATATTGGCTTTCTGAGTTTTGGCTGGTTTCCCAAATAGCAATTTTTATATTTAAAAAAAAAAAAAAAGACAGACTTAACTGCTTGCAGACTTTTCACGCATGGAAGATGAAGAAAGCTTCTTTTGATGAAGTGTAATTATGTCCAAACAGAGCTGACCCCCTCCCCCTATATTTCTTATGATCTTAACTGAAGAAAGTAGGATTTTTCCTTTGAAGCAGCTGGGACTTGGTGGAGGATCTGAAATGCTACAGTCTGCTGCCAGAGGCAGGATGGAGAAATTGGTCCAGACTTGTCTTCGAGACTTAGATTGGGGGTGAGGGGGAGCGGGTGGAGAGAGAAAGAAAAATTGATTTATCACTAATAATAGATTTTAGTATCACTACATTAACATTTTGTGAAAGGAAATGATAGTACCAAACTGAAATGAAAAGGAAAAAGGGACAGAGAACACTGATAAGAGATAACACTGACGAAATAAGGGTCAGTTTTTCAGTGACAGGAAACCTTTTAACCTGCCTGTGTACCTGACCTGCTTTCTAGTTTCCTCTTTGGTTTTCATAACTTCTACATTTCTCTTCAGTGATTAAGTCTGTATCAAACATACCGTGACCATTACATTCCTCCCTCTCCGCCCCCCACCCCCAGCTATTTAAATTTTCTATTTTCAGTAGCATCCAAGAATAAAAAAACACCAAAGTTCCTGGAATGTTGCACTCTTTCTTTTCTCTGGTAGAGCTATAAACTCTCAGAAATTGAAAAACCGTTTCAGATCTATAATGGAGTCACTTCAGGACTCTGGCAGTGGTGTCATCTGATGAGTGTGACTTGAGGAAGTGCTTTGGAGTAAAAGTAGAGCATCAGTGAAATGTGCATTAAGTTATGGGTGGTGTGTGGTTTTAACTTATTTTTTTTCTCCATTATATTTTAAAGAAGTGTTTAAAATGACTTTGGTCCTTGAGTTTTCTTGGTGTGCTTCCCACTTTTGACATCAAACATGCTGCTTTTAATTTATAAGTAGTTTTAAATACCTATAGTGTACAGGGTATGGTACAAATTCCTGCTTATAGTCTTCCCTACTAGACTGTTCCTGACAGACCCTTGGGCTGGGTTGAAATTGTCTTTTAATGACAATTTGTTATTTTAGAAATTCATGATTTGAGGACATGCTCCAGAACTAGTTCTCAGATAAAGCCAAGGGTGATGCAGTCAGTTGTCTGATGACAGCAGGCTTCCTAAAAACCAGCATTTCAAAAAAAAGATTTATTTATTTATGCATATAGACCTGGGGTACAGGCCAGAGATGCCGGGTTTAGAGGATTCACCGGAGACAGAGTGGGCAGCAGAAGAGTCAGATCGACGAAGTAAAGGGCCGAGAGGAGCAGGGGGTGAGGCAGGAGAGGTCTGCTGCTGCCATATGGGTCACCTCTGGGGCTGGGGATTGAACTAGCAGTGAAGTGGCTGCAGCCAGCTTGCAACGCTGTGCCTTAATCCGTTGCAAACACCAGGGAGGGCCCAAACCAGCATTTTTACCATTTATGGAAAATGATGAAAATGAAACCTGGAAAAAGTTTTTCTTGATAGCAGGAAATAATGCATACCCACAAAATCATTTGATTTAGGAAATGTATCATTATTATAAGTTAAAGAGCCAATTACCTCGTTTTATAATAGTTTTTGGAGGCTTCTTGAACTTTATATTCCTGTTCCTTCTGAAGGAACAATGAGAAATAGAAGGGTTTTTTTTGATTTTTTGATTTTTGTTTTGTTTAGTTAAACTACATATTGATTCCTAGGATTTGATTTCAGAAAAACATAGTTAGACTTAAATACTTATTTCCTCAAGCCCATCTCTTTTGAAAAATAAGCCTATTGAAAACTGGCTCTGCTTTGAATATTTAGATTTTTTTTTTTAGACAATAGAGTGAATTTCATTAAGGCTTTGTACCTTCATGAAGTGTTTCTCTACATTTAGGAGAAGTATTGGTGACTTTTTAAATATTCTAAATGAATTCTAACAGTCTCAAATAGAAATATTCTCAGAAGCTGTTTAGATAATTCATGGGCAGTCTATTTGGCAGGTTATTTAAGACATTAATTGAGAGATAGACATCCCTAATTTGGGAGGACTGGTGCTTGGAAGGTGGCTGTCTTTTAAGCACTGCCTGTGCAGCTGCTGTTAGAATGCAATCTTGGCTCTGGGATCATGTATCCAACCCCAAATGGCATCGTTTTAATATAAATTAACTTTCAATTTATAGTTGGTTCACTCCTCAGATCTCTCCATTGTTTGCAGGGCCTGATCTGAATCCAGTGGCTTCCTGTTCAACTTTCTAATCTTCATTTCTGTATATTTTTCAGTTTTCTGTAACTAGATCAGACTGTTGGCTGCCTTATTCTTCTGGTTAGTCATCATCTTTGTAAAAAACAAAACCCAGCAACAACAAAAATATTGCCTGTTCTCTTACCAGACAATTAAATTACTTAACATCCAATACATAGTAGGTGAAATATGGTATACCTATAATTTATAATGTTCTCATCTTATCTACTAAGATACTACCTTAGTAGAATCTACTTACTGTTTTGATCTTACAGAGATGATTGGGGCACATATAGAAATAGTGTACCTATTAGTTTTAATGACCTCTGGAAAAATTAAAATAAGAGTATTTCTAGACCTAAATTTTAAGGTCTAGAAAACCTCTAGATATTTTCCACTTAATTAGTTGTGTGGGTAAATTACTCAGCATCTCTGGGGCTTTAGATACCTCATTTGTGATATGGGGGTGATAAACCCAACTGGGTAGGATTAAATGAGATCGAATGTATGAGTGACAGGCACTTACTAGGTTTCTGATCAATATCCATCTTTCCCGGTTTCCTCCCTCCATGCTCCTGCCTAATTCCTTTTTCTTTCCTCCTTTTTCTTGTTTTTTTTTTTTTTTTTTTTTCCCTCTTGGCCATGGAAAAGTATACCCAAAGAGACTTAAAACTATAGATACTGAATAACAAATGATGTGTGCCTTAAACATATTTTAGAAACTTACATGGTTTGGGTTGAAAAGAAAACCCATTCACTAGACTTGACAGCCAAAGACCTGTTCTACATTAAGTTTTGAATATAACCTGTTCCATATTAAGCTTTGAAAAGATTGCATTAAACTTTGCATTGCTACATATTGTTTAAGATTTGTGTTTTGACTTAATACCTTCTGCCTTCAGTAAAGGGAAAAACAGTTTCTGACCAAAAAACAAAGCAAACTAAAATGAGCTTTTTAAAGGTCCGTTATAGGAGAAGGCTACATGAATCCTCTGGCCTGAGATTGCTGAATGTTTTATTGAGTCACTGTTTCACGCCCACCTTTTCCTGTCTTGTAACAGTTAGCAGTTTTGACTATCTGACATGACTAACCGTTGCAAATCTAACTGATTACAACTGTCAGTGAGTCTGTATAACAGAGTCTGTCTTCTTCTGGAGAAAGCAAACCTCCAAATCTGCTACCAAAATTTTCCCTGCCCTCCCTCCAACCTCCATTCATCACCTTTAGCTTATTTATTTGAAACATCAGATGTGATATTTCTATGAAGGACACCTTCTGCTAAAAGTAAAAATTTATATTTATATTGGGAGATACCAAGCACATTTAGCAAAAGCAAGTCACTGTCAGGGAGTTATTTAAAGCTTTAACAGCGAGGAGGTATGTTAGGGAAGTGGGGGGAGGAGAAAAACTTTGTTCCAGTAATGATGAAATCATCATACCACAGGCACATTAAGGCCAGGACAGGAGACACTGGCTCCTGTTAAAATGATTCCCATAAGAACCATCCTCTTTCATCTTCTTATTGTAGTGCAGTTAAGCAAATGAAATGCTAAAGCCATGTGAAGTAAATAACATAATCAACAGTGATTTACTATTGTTCTCTCATGGGGTCGTGACCTTATCCTAAATAAAGACTTCTAAAATTGTCTGTGCTGGATGTGTTCCTGATGTTGGAGAAAACTGAAAGGAAGAGAACCCTCTTCAAGTGGATTGGGGTTTTCATTTTCAGTACGAAGGCTACTGATCAGCCTTTTTTTGGTGGGGGGAGGGAGGTTGAAACCTGCTTGTATAAGTACTGCAAGGAAGATGATAATCTGATGTTCAGTGAATTAAGAAACTCCCAAGTGACCTCCAGAGGGGTTTTGAATTAGACTCTTGTCTCTGTTTTATTATTTTTTTGTTAAAGTTGCTTAATGCAATTTGGACATCTAGACTGCTCTATTAAACATCAATACTATCTTTTAATGTTCACTATGGATTTTTCCCCTTTTACATCTGCAGGCAAGAGTTTCACCTTGACCATAACTGTCTTCACAAATCCTCCCCAAGTAGCCACCTATCACAGAGCTATTAAAGTTACAGTGGATGGACCCCGGGAACCCAGAAGTAAGTACTTGCCTTTCTATTAGAAATGGTAATAGAGTTTGTGGAGACCCTGCAAGGAGTTTATCCCAGCTGCATATATTTGTAATGAAGAACAATTAATAGAAAGGATTTCACAGTTAGTAGAAAATAAAATTACAGTTTCAACCTTTGCCACAAATTGCTAAGGCCTCCATCTCTTTGGGAAATGAGTGAACAATTATTTAGTCACAGTAACTATTTGCTAAGAAATTCTGCGCATCCACTGTACACAATAGACAGGGCAGGGTAGGACCCATGAGAGCTAAAGAAGAAAACAATAAGCTGAGAAATCTTGAGCTTAGTCAAAAAGCATTTGCGTTTGTTTCCCATGGTCTAAGAATGTGTTTTAACTTTTTAACTCGCCCACTCAATTCCCTTTATAAAGAGCACACTGCTTAATTACAAAGAATTTATTTGCAAATGATAACTTGCTTGATTGTTACAACACTGTTGTTTGGTCATGTTCGAGTTAATTGTTATAGATAGAGTCAAACCAGGTTTAAGTCCACTTTGGTTTATTTTTCTGTCTGGACATCCAGAAGGTTTAACCAGCATCAGTGTAAGGTAGTGCACATGATCCATTTGGGCTGCATTTTCCTCCTATATCTCAACTGAAACAGGTTTACTCTCTTCCAGTCCCTCCTCCAAACTGATTTGAACAAACTTGGCATAGCAGTATTTAAATATAGAGAGTAAAGATTATTTGATATATACAACATTAAGAATTCTGTGCCAATGGAAACATCTAATAGAACTCTGCCTTTGATGAGTGAATTACATTGGCGTCTTAGCCATTGTGTTGAGAGAGTTTAATTTGGTTTGTGGTGGAGGTACAGCTGGCAGGAATATTTGTTATATAACAATGCACCTGCCTAGACAGTGAGAGTAGCATATCTTTTCTCCCCTAAAGGAGAGGTAAGGTTCTGCCTCACCCGCCTTGCTTGTTTTCTAGCAGTGGGACAGTAAGATGCCTTCCGTTCCTCTTGCCACTGTCTCTCTGTAAAGGGGCTGAATGCTTGCCTGAATTAGGAACGTTTCCTGCAAACCAGTCTTTGAGGTTTTTCTGTTTTCCATCTCTTGTGTATGTGGCTTTCTTCTTGGTTCACAAGGTTGGGTCATTGCCTGCTTTGTTTGAGCACGTCCTACTAAGTGGTTGCCATTGACGTGTCTCTGCCTCAGGTCTCCTGCCATCAAGGTGAATGGCAATGCAGAGCAGAGGAATAGAACAGAGTAGAGGTGTCTTGGCTGGCAGGACTTTGCCTGACTTTCCTGGGCTGCCATAAAGTGGGGATGATATCCTGTGATGGAAGACATCTTCTAACATTTTTTTCTCATTGGCCCTTGCATTCCTAAAAAGGCAAGATATCCATTTTTGTAATGCATAAGGCAACATAGTAATTATTTAACATTTAGCACTGCTGTTTTATCTTTTAGACATGTTTCCTGATGATCTCAGCTCCTTTTTCCAGTTCTGAGAAAAACCATTATTGTGTGTGTGCCTGTGTGTCTGTGTTCATACACTTAAGAACTGACACTCAAAAATTGATGGTTGAGAGAGGAAATGGGAGGATGGGGAACCTATTCCAAATGACGTCATAAAAGATGAGGAAGTCAGTAGCTTTGGAAGTCACTTTCTATCATGTGCGAATAGCTTGACCTCATTCCAGAGAAGTTTTTGGTAGGATTAATAAATTGATAGACTTACTGTCTTGAAAAGGCAGAGATGTGCTCTAGAGGAAAGGGGGTTAGAGAGAGAGGAAAGATGTGTGACCCTGAGTTGAGGTCTTTGGTGGTATAAAGGGTGGGAGGGGAAGCAGATGCAGATCTCGAGTGCGATCACTGCCCTAGATCAACCTGAATGACATTTCCCATGAGCTGAAAATATCTGTGAGAATGTGATGTCATTTCTCTGACATCATAAGGTGATTTCTCAAACTCAGTAACTGCTTAAAAGAATAGGTCTGGTATCAGTGACATCTTTATAATCCCACAATTCTGCTGGATTACTTCCTTCTAGCCTGCTCTCGACCATCCCTGACCTGGAACACCTGGAATGTTTGTAATTCTGTTCAGTATTATTCTTTAATTGTGAGAATGTCAGGTATGGAAAATGCCCAGAAGTTTCAATTTTCTTCAACTCTGAGTATAACAGGATTTTGTTTGATTGGTTGCATGTAGCACAGTGTTAAATGGGAGCCTCTGGAACATGGGCTGACAAACTCTATAAAATTCCAGATAGTAAATAATTTCAGCTCTGTGGGCTATAATTTCTGTGGCAAATCTTCAACTCTGCCTTTGTTGCTGGAAAGCAGTCTTAGCCAATACATAAATGAATGGTTGTTTCAACAAAACTTTATTTACAAAAACAGGTGGTTAGCAGGATTAGGGCCCAACTTAAATTGCTGACCCTTGTTCTAGATTTTGAGGTGTTTTATTGTATCAGCTGTTAATAGATAAGGGCTTTGAAAAGAGACTTTCCTGAAGAGAGTATAAAAAAAAGACAATGTAATTATTTTAGCTTTCTTTCCCACACAATTATAATTCCATAAATAGTGGTTATTTGTCATTTAAGCAGTGGATATCTGTTTATTACCATTCTGGTTGGAAGGAGTTGAAGATTTTATACTAATGATTCGTGTTAATGCAATCTTACTCCTTCCTCTAAAGATCTGAATATAAATTGAAAAGGTTACTTTTGGGAGATCAGCGATTTGAAAAAAGACAATTTCTGGGTTAACTGGGTCTTTAGTCAACATAGGATAGTATTTAAAGATAAGGGCTTTTGGTGTCAGACTGGATTTAAATTCCAGTTCCACCATTTACTAGCTGTGTGGTGGTAGACCAGTTACCTAACTTCTCTATGCCTCAGTTTCCTCATCTTGTTCAAGTGAGAATAATAGAACAATATCTTCCTCATCAGTTGCCGCAAGGATATTAAATGATGTAATGTATGTAAAATCATAGCAAGGTGACCATCATGCAGTAAGCAGTTATTAACTGTTAACTATTACTACATCAATTTCTTTCAGTGTCAGAAGCTTACTGTAGAGTTTCGCTTAGCATATGCTTCCCGAAAATAGATACCATCTAGATTCTGTTCTCTAGTGTATTATTTTTCCCCCAGATGGCTTTACTAATTTCTGCTCATTAGTAAATGACACTAATAATGGTTATAAATTGTGCCTCAAGCAGGTATTCATGCAGCCCGGGGACGGCTGTGCATAAGTGATGATAAAAATAATTTGTTTGCAGCAAGGAAAAGTCTGAGAGGATGCTGTGGCACTCATGTCCTTGACTGGGGCCCTGCTTATCAGCACATCTGCCAAGACTTGCTTTTCACTCAAAAATCAGAAAGGTTTCATCCTTCTATGTTTTCTCTCTCTGGCAGCTGAACCGGTGCTGTCACATCACAAACAACTTCTTTTCTTAATATACACATCTGGCGTTGGCAGTTGGACTAACTTCATAAGAGCACATGATCATCACTCATTACAAGATTAAAAAGTACCCCATGGCATCATTGATGTTTTTTAACTTTGATCTTTTGCAGTTGTGATTCATCTCAGTTATAAAACTTCCCTTTAAAGGAACATAGCCGATGACTTATTAGAACCTTCATCTTAAGTAGCGTAAACATGAAAACGGTGCACATCTTTACAAAATGCCATTTATTTTCTTTGCCAGCTTATCATTTTAAGACATGACATCATACTTAAGATCCCAAATTTGTAAGTCTTGTGTTTAGGCAAGGCGTTTTGACCTTCTGTTGGCAAGTCAGCTCTGAAGAACAACCGCCTTATGTTTGCCAGCAGCAGAAGCCAGTGTAGCAGCAACAGTAATGCATGTGGATACCCAACTATTTTTTTTCAAAGATTTATTTATTTATTCATATGGAACTGGGGTACAGGCCAGAGATGTGGATTGTGAAAGGATTCACCAGAGACAGAGAGGGGAGCAGAACAGGCAGATGGACAAAGTACACTGCTGAGGGGAGCAGCGGGCGGGTCAGGAGAGGTCTGCCGCGCCATGTGGATCACCTCCGGAACAGGCGGGAATCGAACTCATGCGGAAGTGGCTTTAGCTTCTTAGTGCTGTGTTTTAACCGCTGCTCCACCAGGGAGGACCCGATACCCAACTATTTTAAACATCAGTTTCTATTAGGATCCTTCGTTTCATTTATGCACTTGGTCCCAATCCCTGTCTGATTTAAAGAACCTTTCCAGGAAGGTGAAAACTTGTTAGCAATATCATGTTCTGTAGTAGTGGTTTGGCAGAGAAGACAAGTGGAAAAGGTACTATTTGCTGTGCAGTGGGTAGAAAAGGTGCATCATCTTATAGATTCAGAATCCCTTTCATTCTCTTGTAGCTTTTTCAGCTAGCTATTGCTACATAACTAGCCATCTCCCCGAAAATGGCTTCAACCAACTACCACGTTTATTATTTCTGTGGACTGGTTGGTCCTCATCTGGATGGGCATTGTGCAGCTCACTTAGGGTTTTCTGTATCTGATGTGTTGGTAAGATGCTGGAAGACTGGCTTTGGATGGGATGGTGGGATAGCTGGATGGTCCTCTCTCTCTCTGTAGCTCTAGAGTCTCTCCACTGGGCCCTCCATGTATTCTCTTCGTGATACCTTTTCAGCACAGCTTGAAAGGAACATACTGGAAACTTTCAGGCCTTCTTAGGACTGAACACTCAGAACTGGCAGCTGGACAGGGCTTCCTTGGTCCACCAGTGTCATTACCTTCCCTGGGTGAATCATTGGTGAATCAGGAGAAGTAATTGTTTGAGGACTCTTGACTTTTTATCTGGAGGACATTTAAAGTTCTACAAGGCTACTCTAAATTGCAATTGTAGTGACTTTCTTTTGAATTGAGCAAATATCAGATGCTTTTACCTTGTATTGACAGGTCAGTGTCAAACTGTGCCAGGCTGGTACTTGTATGAGAAAAGAACATTAGGTATTTGAAGAAAAAGATGTTA